TTTTTTTTTTTTTTTTTCTTTTTTTTTTGTTTTTGTTTTTTGTTTTAACATCGAAATTAAATTAAAAAAATATAAATATAAAGAGGTAATTCAATAAAATAAACAAACACTGCAGCCTCCTCTTCTGCTTCTTCTTCTCTCGTCGAGGACAAACAGAGAAATATGAATTGTTGATCTCTTCATTTATTTATTTATTTATTTATTTATTTATTTATTTATTTGTTTGTTTTTTGTTTGTTTGTATTGTTGTTTGTTTTTTCTCTTTTTTTTTGCTTTTGTTTGCTCGTTGTTGCAATGATGTGAATTTCCTTTTGATTTTTATTTTTTATTATTATTTAATATTTTTTTTATTTTTTTTTCTTTTTATTTATATCTTTTTGTTTGTGCTTGTGGCTTGTTGTCTGTTGTGTGCATCCACAGACAGAGGTCCTCTGTACCTCTCTTTCTCTTTCTCTTTCTTTTTTTTTCTCTCTCTCTGTCTCTCCTCGCCGATGCGCTGCAGCAAAAAAGAAGAAAATAAATATATTGGGTTTATCTGCGTTTACTAGGTGAGTTATATATAAAGGAATGCTGAACACAGACGCTGTGTGTTGTTCTTTTTTATCTCTTTCTCTATCACTCTCTGTTCTTTCTTTCTTACCTCTGAATAAATCCTTATGAAACAAAGAAACAAACAAACAAACCACAGCTTTCCCTTTTGTAGAGTGGAGCTGTGGTTTCTTTATTTGAGGGTTTAGGGCTTAGGGTCTAGGGTTTAGGGTTTAGGGTTTAGGGTTTGGGGTTTTGAGGGTTTCAGGCGGAATGTCTCTTCCTGTCGGCCCCGGGGCGGAGCACCGCGAGGCCTCAAATTCTTGCAAAAAGATTCGCGACGACTTGGCTGCATGCATGCAGGTGCGTGGTGTTTATTGTTTATTATATTTGCTTTATATTATATATATATATATATATATATATATATATATATATATATATATATATATATATATATATATATATATATGTTTTTATATATATATATATATATATATATATATATATATATATATATATATATATATATATATATATATATTTGTTTACATGAAAACTCTGAGAATTTGTGTTTATTTTTTCTATAACAAAAAAAAAAGGGTTTCTGTACAAGTTCTTGTATGAACAAAACCCTCTGCTGCGGCTGCTGCAGAGCTCACCCTGCATGCAGAACGGAGGCGGCTTCTGGGAATGTATGAGGAATGAAGATTGGCGCGAAGTTACTGTGGAGTGTTTGGCTCTCAAGAAGACTTACGCGCAGTGCAGACGAAACCTTCTGAATCCTTCTCTGAAAATGAGGGGAAATATGTTGCATAGGTAGAGGCAATAAAAAGCCAATAAAAGCACATCGTTTTGTGCAGAAACAGAAAACGATATTTTTAATTCAATACACCTTTTTTTTTTCTGAAAAAAGTTATGCTAGTTTCGTGTTTTTGTACTCTGGCACTGACACAGCATCAGCCGCCACCGGAAACGATACAGAAATGAGAGGTAATAAACCAACACCTCAGAAGTTTCCTTCATAGGGAGAAGGTAAACAAATACATATTTTTTCTATTTCTCCAAAAATTCAAAAAAAATAAACATGAATAATAGGCTAATCGTGCAGCTTTCCGTTTTCATCGTTTCGGGTGTATCTGCACCTGTATCGGCATTTGCAGAAACTAGCGCTTTCTCTCCCGGAATTCACGATGATTTCATGTTTAAATTTTGTGAATAAAAACTAAATACTAAATAAAAAAGCATATTTTACTATAAAAACTGAAAAAAATTCATGAATTCGTTTTTTTTTCACTCGGTTTCCCTCTTTTTATAAAAGTGAAGGTTTACTCAAAGAAATGAAAGCTGAATGCAAAACGGAACTGCAAGCCTTTCTTGGCGCATCGTTGGCAATAAAAACAAAAGCTGCATTTTATTTTATTTTATTTTATTTTATTTTATTTTATTTTATTTTATTTTATTTTATTGTATGCAACTTAGTAATTCATATGTGGATATACACTGCCGCAACTTTCACAGAACTGCAGCCATAGCGGCACCGTTCAGATTACTTGAACACTGTACATTGCTGCTGCCAGCAATTGCGGCTGGCAGCAGCAGCTCTGCAGCAGCAGCGCGTGCATAAAAAAGTTGAATTTCGGCTGCACTGAAGACAAGGGAAAGCAGAATAAGAACTGTATGTACGTGGAGTTGGCTTTCCCTGCATATGTTTATTTATACACATACATATATATAACATACACATATACACAAACATAATATA